GAGGGAGGGAGGGAGAGAGAGAGGGAGGGAGGGAGACAGGGAGAAACTGGGTAGTTAAGAAATCAGGCTGAACTCCAAAGGCTTGGGATGCTGTTCCTAGAATCTTAAGAACCCCCAGGGCTCTAGCCCCAGCACACCTTGTCCACAAAGTCTTCTTGGGAGCATAGCTCATCACAGTAACTCAGGAGATCCGGGTATAGGTCATCCTCTTCCTGATCCTGCTTTTCTTCCTGGTTTTCTTCAGGCTCCTCAGTGACCAAGAGATGATGTTCTTCCAGCCAGTCCATGATCTCCATGTATTCCTTCACGGCTTCAGGAGGGATCTCATCAGGTGCCTTGCTCTCAGGTGGCTGCTGGCTTTCGGGTGCCGGGGGGCAGGCAGCCTGTGCCTTCGAGTCTGCCTGCCTGGGGACGCACACTAGAATGGGAGGAGGGAGTGGTGTATGGATGGGGCCTCCGGCTACACCCCAATCCCAGTGGGGAGAGCAGTGATCAGGGGACCTAATGTCATCCAGAGTAGTCCAGGACAACCTGACCTCAGAACCTGTGAGGGGAGACTCTGCATGAGGTGGAATGTGGAGACAGTCACATGGGAGGACATGTGGAGCTACCAAAATGCCAGATACTCTCCCCACCCTGCCCCCAAGTCCTGGGCAGATGGTGGGTTCAGATATTTCCCAGCCAATCAATACCCTGCTCAAAACCAAGGGCTGAGGAATCCCAGGCGCTGGAGTATTTTCTGCTGTCAAAACCAAATGCCTCATCCCAATTGAAAACCCAACAGATGTGGGACATCAGCTTCCCTCTGCCCTCTTTGGCCTCTGCCATGACTGCCTGTGGAACATGGGAAGACCTACCTGGTTGTTGGACAACCTTAGGCATTGGGGGCCTTGGAGGTTTGGGCCTTGGTGGGGCTGGGATTGGCTGGCCTGGAAGTCCTCCAGTCAACTGCAACCCAGGATGTTCCATCTTTTCAGCAGCCTCAAACTCCATGAACCTGGGGTGTGGAGAGGCACAGGCTGAGCTGGTAGGGAATCCAGGCCCCAGGCCATAAGGACCCTGGGCTGGACCAGTGTCAGGTGTGGGGAGCAGTGCCCTGGGTGGACTGGTCTCATCGTCAGAGGGTGCAGATCCCAGGGCACAATCACAGTTCTGGGCACACCCTTCATCGTCTGCAGGGAATCTCGTTAGCCCTAGGTGACCCACAGAGCCTTTTCCAGCCTTTTCAGGCCTGCCATGGCCTTGCACAGAGCCACAAACAGGAACTGACCATCAGAAGCTGGTCAGGAAGTGAGTTAAGGCAGAAAACACTGGGAGTCCTCGTCCCATCCAGGGATCCTGAGCTGGGACTGTGAGTCCTGGAATGATGCCCTGGGAAACAAGGGCCCTGGAGAAGTTGGGAGAAAGAGGGAGCCAAGGAGGGAAGATTAGGTCACTTTCCTCTGTGACCCGTTTCTCTGTTTGTTTGTTTGTTCATGTGTTTGTTTGAATAGAACAGATGAGATGGAGCAAAAGCAGTAATGGCAAGGACATGTCCTCGGGGTGCCTGAGAGGCTGTCTTCCCCTAATCATGCTGTCCCCTCTCCCATTCTCTTCTGGGACCTTGGGTTATAACCTCTTGTCCCTTTCATGGACAGAGATGGTCCCTTCTTTGTCAACTTGGGACTAGCATGTGACTAAATGGCACTTTACACAGCCCCCACTGCCGGAAGAAGCCCCATGAACAGTGAGGCCCGAGCTTCTGGGCAAAGTCTTCTTTGCCAGCCCTCCAGGTAGAAGGAGCTGCCCCTTGAGGACCAAGGTGTCCAGGGCTGGGGTCTGTGAACCCCTGCTGACACTGTGTGGATGACAAGCACCGCTGGACACAGCTGCACAGCCCATGTGCTCTTGCAACTCAGGCCCAGGCCCAGGGTCTCTGACTCACTTTTCAGCCACCTCGTAGAATGTCATGCGGTTGTAGTTGCTGGTGCGATCCCATTCCTGAATGCCTATCTGCAGGCTCTTCTCCACACTCATGGTCGGCTGCCAGCGGGACAGGGACCGAAGCACTGGCCTGTAATTGCTCAGGATCAGTTACCATCCACTACCCTCACCCTGTATACCCAGGTGATCCAGCCTTGCACACCCCATGGTTCTGTCACTTCTGCCCTTGGCACAACACTCTTCCCTTGTGGTCTGACAGCCTCCAGGATGCCCTAGCAGACACCAGACATCAACATCAGTACTGCACTGGAGACTGATTTTCCTTCATGTCCTCGTTGTTGGTGTTGTCTGTTATGGACAGGAGGGTTTTGTCTCCCACAGTCCATGTGTTGAAGTACTGACCCTCAATGTGATGGTATTTAGAAAGAGTCAGATGAGTCCTGCCTTAGAACTTTGAGGAATGAATGTGGGTGGCTTCCACTTGCCAGTCTAGGGTATTCTGTCTGGCAGCCTGAGGCGACAGGACCAGTGATCTGAAGCCAGGGATAAAGCCTGGGGTGAAGATTTAAATGGTGACCGCGGATCAAACGGAATGAGGGCCCCTGGTGTGCACTCATGTGACTGCTGCACCACCTCGTTCTCCTAACCATCGATCCCCACAACAGGGGTGGGAACAAGTGTCATTTTCCCTCTCAGTTTCTGTACCTCCTACCACCAGTGGTTGTGGTGACCTCAGGGCCATGAATCCACAGGTCTATGAAGGAAGGTGAAAATGGAAGGGGAGTGACCATGACAAGTCAGAGACCTAAACTCAAATGGTGGCTCGTGTTACACCAGGAATCTTCTCTGACCTTGAGTCTTGAGCAGCATGGTGAGGACTATTGTAAAAGAACCATTGGCTGCACTCAGAGAGGGGCAATGGTGTCCATAGATCAGGCACTCTTCCTAAACTTACTATATCACCCTCAGCCCTTCCTGTGAGTTCCTCTACATCCCAAATTCCTTGACTCCCCTCCTCCTTCCTCTCATTGGAGCCAAAGGTTGAGCTCCTGGGTCCCTGCAAGGGCACTCACACCAGGAAGCAGGACAGTGCTTCCATGTCAGGAGTTTGGGGAAAGTGTTCCTGGAGCAGAGTCTTCAAATACTGCCAGCGCCGGAAGTTCTCATAGGCACTTGGAGACTTGCAGGTGCGATCTGTTGAGGTATTGGCCTGCGAGGCGGCCAGCCCACACTCTGTGTAGTTACAGTGTGGTGGTGGCCCTGTGTTCACCCTGGACATGGCACGGGCCACTGGTGGTACGGCTGAGGGACAGGGGCCCCAGGGCCTCATCCTGTCATCAACTTTGTTGCTCACCCGAATTGGGGCAGGCATGAAGGTGGGCATGGGTGGAGCTCTCAGCTGCAGGGGAGCAGGATTCTGCACAGCCCAATGCCGGACCCCTGGGGCACCCCTCATGCGTGGGGCCTGAGTGAGGAGAGTGCTCTGAGTGGGCAGGGACCCTGCTGGCCTCCTTGCTCTCCCGGCTTGGGCCATGATGTTGAAAGGCCCAGCCCCAGGCTTGCCATAGCCACCGTGTCCTGCCACCACAGGTGTCATGGGGAAAGGGGACAGCACCAGGGGGTTACCCCGAGGAGGTGGGGCATTCCCAAAGGGTGGTGGGGGCGGCTCCCAGTATAGCTGCTGTGTTGGGACTGAGGCAGGTGGAAGAGGGCGCAGGACCGCAGAAGGAGATGGGATGACACCAGACTTCAGGGTCGTAGCTGGCTGCAGCACTGATGATGCTGGGAAGAGAAGGAAAGGAGTAATTGGAGAGGGGGAGAGGGCAGGAGGGAGGCTCTCTTCTTCCCCAGTCACTGCGAATCAGAGGACAAATCACTCCAGTTCAGGGTTGTGTGGACAGGAATATTTTGCAGTTAGCAAACCCCCCCAAGTGAGGTTTCATGCTCTCTTCCTCCTATTCAGAATTTCTCTAGCATGGAGCTTGTTTCCAGGTCCCTAAGATTCCCAACCCCTGCTTGATCAAAGCAACTCCTCTGTTTTTCCCTCCCTCTAAGGGATACTTCCTTTTCCTGATGGTCCTTCAAAACCCCTGTCTTTCTTGCCTTGCAAGTGCAATACGACACAGCCCCCAAATGAAATGTTTCCCCACTCTAACACCTGAGGAACCCTGGAGATGACCCCGGGAGGGATCCCACCCAGTTCCCACAACAAACACTAATTTGGGGACTGATCCTAACCAGTCCTGTCACTGGAAATGTGTGGTTCCTGTCATGACACTGGAGGCTCTGTTCCTATGGAACAGATCTGGAAGATAGACATTGGCTTCCCTGAGTACTTGTCCTTGCAGAAATAGGAGTTTCTGCAGAGGACCAGAAAGAGCCAAGTGATAGTGACTGTGGAGTTTCCAAGAAATTGTCACAGCTACTGGCTGTCAGATTAGGTTGTGGAAGTGGAACCTATCTGTGGAGTTTTTCCCTTGGGGTCTCAATAATGGAAAGGAAAGAGCCCCATGGTCCTCCATGAGCCAGGTGCCACATGAGACAAAGTTACTTGGAGCCCATCCTTGGTCAGTGGGACCTTATGCAGACCCTGGTCAAAGAGAGCAAGATCCATGACACCTGCACCCAGTAACCAGCACCCCTGTCCTACCCTAGTACTAACAAGACAGCAAAGGATCTTCCTGTGAGCTACTCACCATCCTCTTTTAGCATGGAAACCAGCTTTCACTGCCATAGAAACCCAACACCACTCCACATGTGCTCCCTGTGCATGAAGCACCAGACAGGAACATGGGCTGCGTTCCTGCCAACAGTGAAATGAAGGGCTGAGGGTCC